TCAGTCGTAGAGCTTGAACTGTGGGCCTGGGCACTGTCCCTGAGCTCTTCAAGTTCAAGGTGAGTGCGCTACTTGAGCCACAGCACCACTTCCAGTTTTCAGTGGTTAATTGGAGTAAGAGTCTCACAACTTTCCTGCCTGGGCTGGCTTCGAACCGTGATGCTCAGATCTCAGCCTCCTGAGTGGCTAGGATTACAGGGATGAGCCACCAGTACCCAGGCCAAAGTGTATCTTGTTCCTATCACATGACCACCAACATACCTTCTCTGATCTTCCAACTCACCTTGCCATGGAACTGAGGCACTCTGTAGCCTTCCTGGAGGTAAAGGCCAACGGTGACCCACATACACTCATACTTACAGTCGTCCCGACAAGTCCAGCCTGAAATAGATAAATGGAGCCAGTGGACTCCCCAGCTGAGGAGGCACAGCGAAAACCAGGTGGAGTCCGTACAAATGGAGGCCAAGTGGCCTAGATGTTGGAGACAATCAACAGAAATCTCAAATTTCTAGCTTTCCACCTGAGTAGAGAGAGGGTGGGACTTACATACAAGAGGAAGGAAAATGAGTATATGTAAGCAACTTTTAGGGATGGGAGCAAATACAAGTATTTCTCCTTTCACCCAAGATGGGAGATTTGTCTCTGTGTATGGGTGTGTGTGTGTGTGTGTTGGTACTGGAGTTTGAACTCAGGGCCTCTTGCTCTCACTTTCCACTCAAGGCTGACATTCTACCTTTGCACCGTATTTTCATTACTGGATTTTTTTTGCTGGTTGTTTCACTTAGATTCATCTGCCAGGTTGGCTCTGAACCTCAGATCTCAACCTCCTGAGTAACTAGGACTAGAGGCACAAGCCTGGCTTCAAGATAGGGAGCTTGACCTATGATGGACTCACCTATGGATAGCTGAGTGTATGGGTGCCCTTTCTGAACACAGAATTATTCTTACTTGCCTGGGAGGAGTTCTTGCTGCCTCCCTATGTCCTGGGAAAATGAAACCCAAATGCTTCACCCTAACTTTTGAGGCCCCAAGTTGTTTTCCCACCTTTTCATAGTCCCTGTGCCTGGGTAAACTAAACCATTGAGTGTGCCCACATCTGTCCCCCACTCTGTCTGTTGCATCTGTATGGAATGGAAAAGGGTAGTACAGTACAAGCTGTGTCTCAGCTTTACTATTTATAATCAGTGTGACCTTGGGCAGGGTCTTATTGTTTCCCCATTTGCAAAATAGAGAAACTACCTCAAAGGCTGTGATGAAAGCTATTTGACCTATTGTGATATCTGCCATACCATAGGAGCTCAATATGCCTGTTCCTTGCCACTAAAGTCATGGATGGGAAGTTAATGTGTTCATCTGGAAGCCATTCCTTCACAAAATATTATGTAAGATGTTCCATTTCTTTATGCCTGAGGAAACACTTTTTATGGTAACGTCATATGGTCTATGAACAAACCCACTTTTTTAGACATTGATAAATTCTTTTTTCCCCCACATGATATTTTATACAAGAATACTTCAGATGTGTTATTAGATGTGACAGATTTTAACAAACCTATTAGACTTGTATCAATTAGTTACATGTTCAATTCATAGTCTTTTGAGAATCATTTGCCTTTTTGTTTAAAAAAGATGGCCTATTTTGTGTAGGTACATTCCTGTTTTTGTGACAAAAGAAAAACTTTAAAACTGTCCCAAATAGAAAAAGTAATGGCTATCAGAGATATGTTTTGTTTTAGTGTGAGTTATCGTTTTTGTATTTGTTTATTGTAAAGGTGTACATTTAGTATTCAGTGCAGTTTTCAAAAAAAAAGCAATTAAAATTTGTTTTAAAAAATATTATGTAAGGCTCCCCCCCCCTCCAGCTCCCTCCTTCTGAAAGCCGGAATCTCTTCCTTTCTGAGTCAGTGCTGAATCTAAGGATCTTTTAGGACTCAGATCATTCCCTACTAGAGAAGGCTAAAAGCTCCATGTCTGGACCCCTTTCCAGGAAAGGCAGGACCTTGGTCTGATTTCTGGGTCACTCCAGGGCCTTGTACTGCAATTAGCATTTAATAAATAGCGATTTGAATTAATTTTTTAAAGCTCCTAGGGTCATAAGACAAGCTGACGAGAATGTCTACCACTCCGGATATTCCACATAATCTCAAGAGTTCCATTGGGGAAACCAAGATTGAGAGCTCGCAGAACCTTGGGGTCGCGAAGGGCGTGACCAAAACCAATGGGCGGGGCTTACCTGCTAGGCTCATGTAGATTGGCTGTCGGGAACGGAAGTGGCTCAGTGCTCCCCCTGAGCAGTTCCGCTCCTCGCATCTGAGCACGCAGTCGCGGTATACCGGTTCGCGGTCGCCTTGGGAGCCGCTCACGAGCGCCGCTGCCCCGGCCAGGAGCATCAGGCGTGCTGCCCGTCCAGCCATCCTGTCACTCCGCCTAGCCACTGAAGGAGGGGCTTAGGAGCATGCGAAGCCTGCACTTCCGGACTAACCGGAAGTACCTGTGCTCTCTTTTGTACCGTCCCCTGACGTCCATTCATTTTAAAGAAAAGTTCCCGGATGGGCGGGCGTCTGCCCCACCCCTTGCGTCGCTGCCGGCTGTCGTGTGTGTGTGTGTGTGTGTGTGTGTGTGTGTGTGTGTGTGTGTGTGTGTGTGTGTGTGTGTGTGTGTG